TTCACATTTTCTTCTAAAACTCCTCAAGATCTGCTGTCAACATAAAACCTGCAGCGAGGGAAAACGGTTTCCTCTTAGACGAAACAGCCAATCGTAGTAGAGCCCTTCCAGCCAATCAGAGGTGAGAAAGGCGGACCCTTCCTTGGACATCCTAGAATTCCAAATGACGCGCCCTGGGGCGGTCTAACAGAGGCGCGGCTGCCATTTTGCACCACCGGCCCCTCTGACCACCACCAACAGGTGGGTGAGGAACCAGAAACACGATAAGCAGATGAACAGACGTGGATCACTCTCTCGTTTTCTGACTAATGATGCTTTACGGTTTCATCTGATATCATCATTCCAGCCCGACATTCACTCATTCATTTTCAACCTGTCTTTTATCTCTGATATGTTTACAGTACAGGGCTGTGCTGTACGACTTTCACTGTTTTTTAGTTTTGTAAAATTCATTTTTGGGGTTCTGGAAGAGCGGTTCGTTCTACTTTAGAGTAAATAAGGTAGTTATTGTCCCTCAGCGGGGCAGCGTTGGTGCAACAGCAGCAAAAAGGCTTCACAACACCAACGATCACAAGTCAGTAACTGAAACTGTTTTACACTCAAAATCACGTTTTAGTTGACGAGCTTACGCCTGAGGAATGCAGCGCGGCCGCTCAAGCACACACACAGTTATTCTGCTGGTTCCTGCCTGACCCCATCGGAGGAAGGCGTTTCATCTCTCCAGGCCCGCTGTCGGAAACGAGGAAACAAAAACACGCTGCGTGCGGTGAAACTCAAACAAACCTAACAGGCGCTGCTTGTAGCCGCTAAAACCAGTTGGACCAGTTTCAAGCAGCCTGGTCTCGGCTCAGAGGCAGCTTTAAACCCTGTTTGCTGCTCGTTGCCGGAGTCTGCAGCTCTCAGAGAAACCAGAAAGAAAACATTCGTTACGACAAACAATACTTTATTATGAATGAGTGAATTTGTATGGGTGAAGGCATGATTGTACAGATCTGATCCCATCAGTGGTTCGTGACCATCCACATCCTGCTGGTGCGGATCAGACCGCTCTTGTTGGATCCAGCAGTAATGAGAAGCCAGGTTACATAACTACCATCACATCTTTGCACTCTGCTTGTATAAATAACATCCAGTCCGTCTCTGACCGGCTCTTCTGGAGAACCCGTCTCAGCGCTCAAGTCCGATTAGAGTCCACAAAAGGGAAAGTCTAGGTGAAGAAGAGCTCTCAGACGTAGGCCCGGCTGTTGGCTACAGAACTGGCGCCCTGGTACTTGACTGGATACTCCTGAGGGCTGCGTTTAGGAGGGCAGGAGCTGCACAGGAGGCCACCTCCGAGGATTAAAAGCGCTGCTGCTGCCCAGCCGATGTAGAGACTGGCTCCCAACTCTCTCCTCTGCGCGTTGGTTATGATGGGGTTGTAGAAATCCCTGACGATGGTGTTTGCAGACCAGCACACCGGAACCAGAACAAGAATACCAGCGCAGATGAAGAAAGCCCCAGCAGCGATGGCCACCTTGGCTTTGGCACGTTCCTCCTCCACAAAGTTGGTGCACTTCCCTCCAGTGATGCCCAGAATGATCCCGAAAGCAGAAACTATGACGGCGATGACCACGAGCGCCCGGGCAGCCTGCAGGTCCTGAGGCAGCGCCAGCAGAGAGTCGTAGATCTTACACTGCATCTGGCCTGTGCTCTGCGTCACACAGTTCATCCACAAGCCCTCCCAGATGACCTGCGCCGTCACTATGTTGGCTCCGATGAAGGCCGTCACCTTCCACATAGGCAGGGCGCACACGATGATGGTGGCGAGGAAGCCGAAGATGGCCAGGACGAGGCCCAGCATCTGTCGTCCCATCGACACCATGATGACTTCCGAGTTGGAGCTGAAGCAAGAGGCGCGGGTCGGTTGTGAAGTTGTGAATGACTGACGCTTGTGTCACATCTCTGTCAGCTTTAAGGACTTGAAGGTGGGGCCAAAGCATCCTCCCCTCTGACCAAAAACAGGAGGACGAACGGGTTCTCCAGTCCGACCAGATTCCTGCCAGTATCTGCTCTGTGTGGTTTCGGCGATTGTATGCAAACGACTCATTAGGCATTTAAACTCCGCTCCGCCTGGAGACGAATGCTGATTGGACAGAGGGCTGGGACGTGAGAAAAACAGAGTTTCACCAGATGTCAGAACCACGTTCTGACTCCTTTAAGGTGCTTTTTTCTGCCTATTTAGTCTGTTTTTGTTCTGGAGTCAGAGAAACGGCTCCAAGATTGGAAGTTATTTCAGTTTGATCAACGAGAACGACAAACCCTCACTACTACTGATTAATGTTGATTGATTAGTGACAGGACAGACATGATTCAGGGGTTTTAATCCACTTAAAAATGGAAATGAGCCTCATAAATGTTTTAGAATTAAGATTTGATGTCATCAAGAGCGGCAAATATCTGAATGAACAAGAATGATGCGTTAACCCCCCCCAATTTTACCATCTCTACCTAGATATAGGCTCCTAGGTGAGCTAGCATAGTTGAATATCATGAAAACGACTCCACAAGCAGAGGTGAAAATATAAACATTTTATTTAATCACCTGACAGATAAAAGGTCATTTGCAGGAAAACAAGTCAGTTTTGTGGCCTTGAGGCAGGAAGTCCATAAAAATAAATATACGAACAAAAGATTTCACAATAAAAGAGGATGCAGGTGACTGGAGTGCGAAGACTTTTGACTTCATAGCAACACGTGAATGCAGGAGAGGACTCGGATGACAGTGACTACATACCACACTTAACTTAACAACAAGTCTGTTATTTCCGGCTCAGACTCCTGGAAATGTCTGTTTGTGTTGGGTTGGCTCTAGATGTACTGTCGTGGCGAGTAGGTGGCCGGAGCAGCGTAGGGCTTGCTGGGCATGTAGCTTCCTGCGGGTGTGTATGAGCGGTTGGATGGAGGAACATACGTGGGGCCGTAGGTCGCCGGTGCGTACCGGTACATCGGTGCTGGGGGGTACTGCGGGTACATCGACTGTTGAGGGGGGCAGGAGGTGGTCAGGGTGATTCCTCCTATCAAGAGCAAACAAGCAGCCGTCCAGCCGATGTAGATGGAGGCTCCCAGCTCCCTCTTCTGCGTGCTGGTGACCACGGAGCTGTCGTAGTCTGAGATGGTGACCGCAGCAGACCAGCAGCACGGGATCAGGATCAGGACCGCAGCTATGATGAGCAGACAGCCACCACTGATCACAATGTTGGCGCTCGATTGCTCGGACTTGAGACAGGTGGTGCACTTGGCTCCGATGAAAGTGATGATGAAGCCGATGAAGCCGATCACCAGGCAGATGATGACCAGGGCCTGGGCGGCCCGCAGGTCCTGCGTCAGGGTCATCACAGAGTTTATCAGGTTGCACTGCATCTGACCGGTACTCTGCATGATGCAGTTCATCCACAGCCCGTCCCAGACCAGCTGACCCGTCACGATGTTGGCTCCGATGTAGGTGGTCATCCTCCACATGGGGACCCCACAGCACACCGCCGCCAGAACCAGGCCGATGAAGCTGATGACCTGGCCGGCTGTTTCCTTGGCAATCTTCCCCATGCCGAAGAGGAGTGAAACGTTTCTCGAGAGCTGCAGGTTCCCGAGTGACACAGCCCTCTCATCAGTTGGTCTCAGAATGGGGAGGAGGTGTCGCCGAGTGAGTTCCTCCTGCCGAACCAGATTCTTTCTGTCCCAGGAAGAGGAGTGGCACTCGCTTTTAAACAATGTCGACCTCTGAGGCTGAAGAGCTCGTTTAGGGTTCATGGCTGATCTGAAATGAACGTATCGACTCCAGGAGTCCTGACACCAGCTGAAGTTAGGGACTTAGATTAATGATTAATTCTGATTAATTCTGATTCTGATTATTAATCCCAGAGGGAAATTGATTAAAGTATTTTTGATTTGAATTGAATTGAAAACGATGAAATTCTTTTATCTGATGAGTTTACATGAGTTAAAGTAACATCCACCCATCCAAGTGTTCATTTCTAATGTTAATAAATGCTTTAGTGTCAAACGGCTGAGCTATAATTAAAAATAATACAATTCTTGTGACAATTTAAACTAAATACCATAGAGCTGTGTACCAAATCATCACATTGTTTTTGCATCAGATGAAGAGATGTTAGATTTCCAGATGAACAAACATTCAGAGTGAATTTAGGAGTGATGGGGTGAATTATTCCTTGTAAAACGCTTTGGAGTCCTCTGACTCAGAGAGAAGCTAGACAAGGGCGGGTCATTTACAATTTCAGATAAATGAAGTAAACGATTTCTGCTTCCACCTCCTGAGACCCGAAAGGCTTTGGTTTTTACTTCTCGTGGGTTTTTGTTCTGAGATTTCCTTTGAGACTGGGCCACTTTCGTTAATTCTACATTAAAAAAAACAAGATTATTCTGCACAGAGATGAGAACTTTTAACGATGAAGCCTTCTGGTTGAACCCAGACGTCCCAGGTGAAGGTGGACGTCGAACCTGAAGCTGAAAACACTCGGAGCAAAACTAAAAGTGTCTCTGCTCTGAGGTCCCGTGACAGAAACCAGCGTGTAAACACAGGTGAGACACGCCCTGGCCACATGACGCTTTAGCTGTTGCTAAAAACAACTGCTCACTCACCCAGGTGTCTCACGCTGAACTTTAATCCACGTTGGTTTAAAGTTTTGACCCATTTTGGATTCAGTGACTCACCTAAGGAGAACTTTAACTGTTTTTATGAGTTTTGATGGTTTTTATCGCTAAAACAAAGAAGAACTAAATGATTTTCAATGTTTTAAAGCACAGCCCTGCAGCAGGTCTACCTGTGGTTGGTCAGGGTCAACAGTTGACTTGATGTGGAACACCTGGAGGGGTGGAGCTTAATTCATCCAAACATCTGGTCTGTGGTGTCCAAATATGTTTAGACAAGGGCCAAAATCATCAAACTGAACGTGCTCACAGGGCCACTAAAATTATTGTTTTCATTTAAAAGCAAATCATTTTATTTATTTTAAAACTCTTCAACTGCTCAACAACTACAATTATTTGTGTTTTTGCAGAAAATAATCAGAAATCTTTCTAGATAAATAAAACCACACCATTATGAGTTTCAGTCAAAGGCCTTAACAGCCACAGGTGGCCCACCAGCCTCACACTGGAAGCCTCAGATCTAAATCTACCTCTCTGTTGTCGCCACACTAGCGCTGCTGTGTTAGCGTTTCCGTGCGTATCCCAACATCTCTGCTGAAGTCCAATTGTGTACTCCATCCCATGATAAAAATCGTTGATCATGATGGTTTTATGTAACTTAAATTATTGGTTGACTTTCACGTTTTATGTTTTGGTCACAATATCAACAATCGGGGTCTTGTCCGGGACCTGAATCTCGTCCCTTTCACCCCCCAAAAATACTTATATGTTCCCCTCCGGCTTCTTAAGTCAAGAGTTAAACGTTTTCCGTTAAAAATGAATTAAACAGTACTAATCCAGTTATTGTAGAGTTTATTTACATAGTTTATGACATGAAAGTTCGAATATTTACCCAAAATGTTGTAATCATAAAAACAGAATCTTATCAATCAAGAGATATTTGTGTGAAATGTTAGAGAAGAAGAGGTTTTTCTATGTGTACGATGGTAAAATACCTTAAATAACTACTCGTTTTGTAAGAAGAAATGTTTTAGGCTTGATTTCATTCATTTGTAAATTCCTCCTGGAAAACCTGATTTGTTTTTCCGATGAAAATTCTGTTCAGTAAAAAAAAAAAGGTCGGTGGGGGTTTGAAGCCCTCCTGGTTTCTTATCGACTCTCAGAGTCCGTGCAGGAACCTGACAGCAGTTTATACGTATTCTCTGGTAGTGGAGGCAGACTTCACGGGGGTGAATTTCCTAACGTAGTGTTGGTTTTGATCGGGGGGGCAGTTCCAGCACAGCAGCCCCCCTCCCATCAACAGAAGGGCAGTAGCGGCCCAGCCGATGTACAGCGCCGCTCCGATCTCATACCTCTGCGTATCCAGCAGCAGTGGGTTGTAGAAGTTGGTGATGATGGTGTGGGCCGACCAGCAGACTGGGATGAGGACGAGAAAACCCGAGATGATGAACAAGCTCCCAGAAACAATGCTGGCCTTCGACTTGGATGCCTCATCCTCGATGCAGTTGGTGCATTTCCCACCAGCGATGGACATGACGACGCCAAAGACCCCAAGGATGATGGAGATGATGATCATGGCGCGAGCCGCCTGCAGGTCCTGTTGCAGAGCCAGCATGGAGTCGTACACTTTGCACTGCATCTGGCCCGTACTTTGTACCACACAGTCCATCCACAGGCCCTGCCAGATGACCTGTGCGGTGATGATGTTGGCTCCGATGAAAGCCGTGACCTTCCACATGGGTAAGGCACAGACTATGATGTCCAGGAGAGAGCCGATGGAGGCCAGCAGGATGCCCGTCATCTGAATCCCCTGAGAAACCATCTTTAATCCCCTCAAGTCGAAAGGAAAGCTGCTGAAATGGTGAAAGCTTGAATTTATGAGCTCTTATGTGGCGAGACAGGCGATGAAGGGATGAGGGTTTGTGATACCAGAATCCTCAGCTGCCATTGGCTGAAGAAAGTTTACACACAAACAGATGGAGGCTTTGCCCTTTTGAATGTGCTGACCTGCAGAACTCCACAGCTTCAAGGTCACGAATCAGCTGTGAACCAGACTCTTTATTTAAAAAGCTGCTTGTTTCAAACAGGATCTCACGGCAGTGAAATCATCTACCAGTCTCCATCACAGCTGATAGTATCAGACATCCCAAATATGAGGTTTAAAAAACCACCCGGAGAATTTCAGCTCAGAATCCCAAAACACAGTCTGACGGGAGAAGAGAGGGCGGCTCCATCTTTACTTACTGATGAAGAAACTAAAGTTCATCAGGTGAACTCCTTCGTGTTTGAAAAGACTTACATAAGAGCAGGAAGTACCCAGCTTAGAGACAGGTAAATTATCTCATCACACTTTTTAGATTTCACTATAAAACCTGTTTGTCCAGCGTGTGTTTTCAGGAGAAAAGGCGTTTTTTCTTGTCCTTCCACAGGGGGGCGGTGTTGCACAGGTGAGTGCACAGGCTGCAGGAATACATGTTCCTGTTTTCTTCTGCAACCAGGTTTAGTTGTTGCATTTAAAGAAGCACGAGCATCATGTGACACGGGAGAGATCGAACAGATCTGCAGGCAGCGGCTCAATAAACGAGAAATTTTAGTTACGGTTTATAAAAGATGTTTGTCTTCTGTAAGTCTCTGGTCTCAGTCCAACTTTTACTGAACACTGTATTTGTTAAAGCTTTAATAAGAATTATGAATCGTTCCTTCACAGTGCAGCCTTTATCTGGAGCTACATGTGTGATCAGATCTATGAAGAAAACACGAGAACATGCGTTCAGCATTAATAAAAAACTTTATTTACATTTGCAAACATTTATTTTCACAAGAACTTTCAAATTAATGTAAAAATACAAAAAAATAAACGACTGAAATGGGTGAAAAACCAAAAACACTTGTTCTAAAAGGTGAAACAACAACTTGTTCCGGGAGGAGGCGGATCTCTTCTCTGATCGGTGCTTTTCTGGGTGTGGTCCACATCTCAGAGCTGCTACTCAGCATCAACACATAAAAATAACCATCGTGGCTTCATGAGCAACCGTCACGGACCTCAGAGCATTCAGTCTTTTCTCAGTCCCTTCTCCCGCCCCCCTCAGACGTAGCCTCCCTTGGGTGCAGAAGAACGAGGACCTGCATACTTGGCGGAATAGTTATCTTTGGGAGGACAGTTGGCACAGAGGAGTCCACCACCCAGGATGAGGAGAGCAGAGGCGCCCCAGCCGATGAAGAGCGACGCTCCCAGCTCCATCTTCTGCGAGCTCGTCAACATTGGGTTGTAGAAATCCCGAATGATGGCGCTTGCTGTCCAGCAAACAGGAGTGAGGCAGAGGATTCCCGCTATGATGAAGATGGCTCCAGCCGCTATGCAGACCTTAGCTTTGGAGCTTTCATCCTCGATGCAGTTGGTGCACTTTCCTCCTGCGATGGCTAGAAGGATGCCGATGACGCCGACCAGAATGGAGACGACGGTGAGCGCACGAGCCGCCTGGAGGTCCGACGAGAGAGCCAGCATGGAGTCATACACCTTGCACTGCATCTGGCCCGTGCTCTGGACCACACACTCCATCCAGATGCCCGACCATGTGGTTTGAGCCGTCACAATGTTCTGCCCAATGAAGGCCGTGACTCTCCACTGAGGAAGAATGCAGGTGACGATGGCTCCAATCCAGCCAATGATGCCCAGGGCGATGCCCAAAATCTGGAAGCCAGCCGATGCCATGTCTCAGAAGGTTTCTCACAGGTGCTCCCGGAAAACGGCTAGAAGTCCTGAACGTGGCGAGCGTGAGAGAGTGAATAAGCTCTGTGGGGCTGGGGCTGGTCTTTTATACTCTTAACTCAGGAGGGGCTCCACGTCCGTTGACACAGAGTCACATGGAGCGCTGACGTCGTCTCCCCCCCACTCCCATCACCAGGCATGTTTCATCCTGTCGGGTTTTTGTTGCAGCCAGGTAATCATTAGAGGAAAGGCACCACTCTGACTCAAGCATCAGCTGGTGCGGATGGAAACAGACACGACGTTCAGCCACACCTTTTTACCGGGTTTTTACCTCTTGTTTACTCACTCCTGTGGGTGTTACCGGGCAACGGGGGGCGGAAACTGGTTTCAGGAGGCCAGAAATAACCCAAAAATTATTCTGGATTCTTGAATTTTCTGATCAAAGCTTTTCCTTAAACAAATCTTAAACTGTAAAGTGGTGCCTGACTCCTAATGTTCACACGTCTGCGGTGATCTCTAGTAGGAGAGAATGCCGTGTAAGGCATCCGCTGGGGAAAACCGCCGCTCTGGCACTCCTGTTTCAGGAAGTCGAAGGTCTAATCGTCTGTTTTCTATCAGAAGCTAATGCAGGAGATAGGTGTAGGAGACTATTTTCATGTTCAGCCTGCATATAAAAGGAAATGACGCTCTACGACGACCATCTCTCATCTGCTACATCTGCGTATTCTTATTTTAAGTCAAACACTCGCTCAAAATCACAAAAGCTCCCGACTCCTCCTCCCTCCAAGTGTTTGGGGAACCAACTTGTTGCTTAAAGAGCTTCAGATAGAAACCACTATGGTTAAAGAGGTCACAGCAGCAGGCCTTTCAGGCTATTGGTTCAACACAACAGCAACACGTACCTCATCGGACCGCATCATTACTTCCTAACAGGCCTAATTTCTCCGTACCAGAGAAGAACTCTGAATGAAAGAAAAGACGAAAGCCGCTGACCTTGTGAAGACGTTGGTCCTTAAACACCGACGGAGAGGACGTCCACTCTGCAGTCCTGCTCTCTAACCATCTAAACCTTTTTATTCGTCTGCAGAGAGAGGTCCTCGGGTGGCAGAAGCCAGATGATTTCTGCTGTTAGACCGCCGTCTGACTGAGTGAGACGGTGAGACGGGATGCGGGGAGTTAGGAGAACCTGAGGGCCTCGGAGATGAATAGAGCCAGTGTTTAAGAGCCAGGGCTACCGTTAGGACCATAATACCTCCGTTTTATCCGAGGCAGCATCATCAAAGGTGCCCGAGTTCAGCTCTGGAGATTGGGTTTCCTGCATGTAAGAAGTCACGGAGGAATTTTACAATTAAGCTGCCGAGGACAGGAACTTTCAGGAGGAGATTCCTTCGGGAATGCATGGGGCACACGAGGAACATCAAATATGAGCTAAGAGTAAAACTGCGTTTAAAGCTTTGTACGTGGAACAAGCCGTAAACGACATGCAACGCCCGCTTTTCTCTTTTGTTTTGCAAAAGAGGGCTGAGCACGTTCTGCAGCAGCCAGGAGAGCTGAATCCCAGAGCTGTGGGAAACTGCCAGAGGGAGCTGAAGGGGAACAAGTGTCAGCAAGTAACCAGAGGCAAGCCCAGACCTCAGAGGAACGACCCGATCACTCGGGTGACCAGCCCTCCAGTCGACCTGATCGGGGCCAAAACATCTACAGTTGGGAATACAACACATGTTTTAATCCAGGCTCTTTAGGGCCATGCAAGACAATAACAGGAAGTAGAATGTGGAGAAAAAAGATGAAACTTCCTTCAGTCCTTCAGAATAAGAGTCCCAAACATACCCCCATAACTTATGACATTTATAAAGTAGTTCAGTTTCACTGTTTGCCTGGAGAACTTCAACTGTTTTACAAGCTTTGTGTGTATGTTTTAGACTTTTATTTTGAAGGATTGAAGGAAGTAGACAAAAAAAATCTCACCTCCTATTCAATGACATTCCTACTTTTCTTAACGTTCACAAAACACACCCAGAACCGTCGGTTACGGCAACACCAGAACAAACATTTCCTTTCCCTTCGTCTCCTTTGATGATTTGTAATTTGTGGAAGTTTTTATTTTGATATTTAATTTGTTTTCTGGACCCCAGACTTGGTGTTTCGTGACCGTCTGTGGGGCCCCCACCCCAGCTTAGAAAACCACCAACTTCCAATCAGGTCTTTTATTTTCTCACCTGTAAACAGCAAACAGAAACGAACACGCGGAGCGACGAAGGCGTGCCGGTTGGGGATTGGTCGGTCGTGTTATGTAAAGCAGCACCTGTCTGAGCCACCCTCAGGCCTTTGTGCAGGGGGTCACGGTTTCAGCGCGCTGCAGATAAACATCTCTGACTGATCCTGACATGTTGGGACATTACCCGCCAGCAAGGTGCGTCACCAAGAGGAACCAGGGGACGTAAAGTTTGTACCGGGAGAAACTTCTGAACCTGATCACAGATTTGGTTTCTAAAGGAAGAAACACAAAAGTAAACGGGAGCGCTCGTCGCTGCGGGGGTGGGGTGGGGTGGGGGGGCAAACAGGAAGTGGTCGCTTCAAACTAAACACACAAGGCTTTTATTTGGTGACTTGTGTAACTTTAAATGATCTGAGAACATGATGGTGTTGTTGGAACTCCTCCATCTTCAGGGAATCTGCTGGTTTTCTCAGCGGGAGTCTTGGATCGTAACGGGGTTCCTGAAGCTAGTGAGAAACTAATAAACACAACCTGGTCGGACTGGTTCCCGCTCCCATGGGGGGGAACGTTCGGGAGCAGGAAACCTGTTTCTGGTGAACTGTTCAGACACGTCGACGCACCTGCAGCAGACGTGGTGAAACCCTCAGAAGCTCAGATGAGATCCAGTTCTAGACAAATCAGATGTTTCATGAACTTCCGTCAGGGGTGTCCGGCCCTGGTCCTGGAGGTCCCCCAACCCCGTACAGCACGTCTCAGTGGTTCTGCTGCTCCAACACACCTGGCTCAGAGCTGCTGGTGAAGCTCTGCAGAAAGATTTGATCACCTGCTGACTGAAGTCAGGTGTGTTGGGGCAGATGAAGAGGGTAGGGGCCTCCAGGACCGGGCTTGGATGAAGTAGCTTTGGTTTCACCGATGCTTGATTCGGTGTAGATTTAGAAACCTTTTTGGAACGTGGTGATGAGCTCAAACGCAGCCTCACCATGAGATGGAACGCACCTGTTTGAGGGCCTGTTCACACCTGCAGCCGTTTTCGGTGCGGTTCCTCTGAGCGTATGTGAACACAGACCCATACGGAGCCCTCCGGAGGAGGTGGACCCGGCTTGTTTACGGTGTGGACGTGATCCAACCTGGATCCGACACAAGGACATGCTCTAGTTTGAGCCACAGGCCGACCTGTGACCAGGTGTGTGTGTGTCATTCTGGGATGCAGAAGTATCTCCTAGCTGAGGTGATGTGAGGGTTACCTGCCTGATCTTTGGGCAGATGGCCAGCTGGCTCAGGATTAGAACGCAGATATTTACTTACTTCCTGTACAACTCCACGCCGGCTCTGCAGCTGGACCTGAGAGTAAGAAGGACACCTTGTGGACCGATGTGGTTACTGCAGCCCATTTCTAAAGTGCAACAGTGACTTTCTCAAAACCGTTCTGTACGGCGAACATCTGAGGACATCCTCAGGTCTCAGGCGTCGGACAGCAGACCGTAGAGAACAGAGATGGGGATTGTGCCGTGATTTTGTTCTGCTCGGCAACAGAACCAGGTTCATTCACTGCGCTGACTGAAGTCACCTGGTTTAGTTGCTGAACTTAAGAAAAAGATGGCGTGAAGACGACTTGTTGATCCCACGATTCCCCATCTCTATTAGAGAATAAAGCCTCAGGTTTCATTCAAAAACCCATCGAACCTCTGACTGATTAGTGTTGGTCAAAAGGGCCTCAGGAAAAAAAAAACATCACACAAAAAGGAATCAGGGAAACGGCTTCAACAAAAAGTTGGATTTTGGGTTTTTCCTGATTCCGTTTTGTCTGATGTTTTTTTTTTCCTGAGACCTTTTTGACTAGCAGACATCTGATGGGTTTTTGAATTAAACCCGAGGCGTTTTTCTCTGAGACCTGACAATGTCCCAAAACGAATACCGTAGTTCTGTGCATTTCGTGGCTAACGACCGGTTACGGATCAGCGCCAGAAGGTTCTAGATGGCGAGCAAAGACGAATCACATAAGTTGATACATTTCACTGTAATATCGAGTTTCTTGAGTTTTTGTTAGAGCTGACAACATCTAATTCACCGTTAGCATTGTTAGCTCATCGTTAGCCTCTAGCCTTCTTTATTAGAGTAAAACAAAAAGATGCCGTGGCTTCTGAGGGTGACAAAAAACACTTCTGGGTTGCTCCAGTAACTGGCGTAGGATGTCTGCAAAACCCTTGTGAGTTCTGATGGTCGACGTCAGCTTGGCGCTGACTCAGCAACCTCAGGTCTGTAAACAAAGACTACATCCCTCTTGGTTTTGTTGAAAGGAGAAAACCTGTAGCCTCGTGTAGCTCTATAGTAGAGTTCACGCTGCCTCCACGTATCACAATCTGACTCTGCATCTAAAAATCATCATCCCTTTATTGAAAGACAATAGACTCCGTCTCGTGACAAAGTTATAGTCAGATCTCGTCTGATTTGGCGGGAAAACTTTCTGAAAACAAAAATTTCTCATTTTAGCAACTTTTGATGTCGTAACACTTTAAATCTGCTTTAAATGCAGAAATACACACACACACACACACACACACACACACACACACACACACACACACACACACACACACACACACACACACACACACTCGTGTGTAGTTCTTTCTAACTGATTTTTAATTTCCTGGTTGAAAGCAAAAACTAACCAAAAGTCTGCTTTTACTCTGAAAGATGCATCAACATCAGCGGTGGCTGATCTGGTGAATTAAATATTAAGACGGATGTTCTGTTCATCCCGGCAGATCTGCGCTGGTTACCGGTCGTTTTTAGAGTGCATTTTAAAATTATTTTATTGGTTTTTAAGGCACTGAACGGGATGGCACCAGAATATTTATCTGACTTGCTACAGCCATATATACCTAGACGTTCGCTCCGCTCAGAGTCACCATGTGCTTCTAGTCCCCGCTACTAGGCTCAAAACAAGAGGAGACGGGGCTTTTTCTGTAGCAGGCCCAAAATTATGGAATGATCTTCCATTATCTGTGCGACTCTCCACGTCAGTAGAGGTTTTTAAGAAGGCGCTGAAGACCCATTATTATAATCTGGCTTTTAAATCTGTGTGTTAACTGATGTTTTGTATTTTGCTGTTTTAATTTTTTTATTGGGTTCCTGTATATTCTTTGTTTTTATCTTTTTAGTTTAGTCTTGTGCAGCACCTTGGTGACATATGTCTGTAAGGTGCTTTTATAAATAAAGGTGATGATGATGATGATGATGATGATGGTGTTTTTGCTGACGTTGACCTAGCCCCTCTGAAAGAGCGACGCCCCCTGCAGGCAGCAGCAGGCACCAACACTAACGTGCCTTTGCCTGGTTATTTCAGCTTGTTTAACTGATGTCATTATTTACTCGTTTCTTCAAAATAAAATCAGCTTTCACTGAGTGACATCTGTAAACTCTGTAGCTCAGTTTGTGTGGAAAAGCTCGAGCCCTCCTGACCTCTGACCCACGATGACCTTTGTTAGTTAGTAGAGGACTACAACGATGAAAGGCTCTCTTGTGTAACTAAAAGGCTCGTTGTCCAGCAGATGGTGGAGGAGACATTCCCACCTGTCCAGGCGTCTTTAATCAGTTTAAAACAGGGTCGGTTCTTCTCTTTGTTTTCTAAACGTGTTTGGAAGTTGTTGTTATTTTATTGGAGGTTCAGCATCTCCACGACGGCCACTGAGGAGGTAGAAACGGTGTTGAGATTAAAACTCAAAGGTAGAACATTTTAAAAATACAATTTAAAGAAAAAAGGGGAAAATATTTGAAGGTTTCCAGAACCCAACAGCATTTGTTCTGGTTTTACTCAGTAAACTTGTTTTTAAGTGAGTTACTACTGGAACAGCAGCGTCAGTCCTTTGATCCTTCAAAATAAGAGTCAGAAGTAGGAGTTTGGAAACTTTGTTCTCTGAAAGTCTTCTGAAGGCCACGCAGAATTAATCCTAAATGGTGTCACAACCATGACTGGATCAAACCGGATGTTATGTCATTTGCATATTTATATTTTCAGCATTTGCCTTCAGACACCAACAACATGAACTTCTCTACCAACAGCCTCCAGAGGTGTCAGACATCAGTTCCTGCTAGAGGTGCCACTCTGGAGCATAGAGGGGCAGAAAAGAGGTTTCAGTTTTAAATATTTTACTTTAAAAAGGATCGTAAAACATATAAATCTGCAACCGGATGGAGGAATGAACCAAAAGTTACCTGAGTTATCTTAGGTGTGTTCTTGCTGTGTCGTATCTCTAATTCCTGCTGTAGTTCGTTTTTAAAACACAGAGCAGTTTTGTTTACCTGCAGGAAAACAGGTAAACAAAACTGCTCTGTGTTTTAAAAAAGAACTACAGCATGGAATTACCTGAGTTATTTTATTTTTATTAATATTAATAATTTATTATTAGTAGTAGTTATTATAATATTATTATTATTATTATTATTATTATATTAATATTATTAATATTATAGTTAGTATTATAATTATATTAATATTATAGTTATTATTAATAATAATAATATTATTCTATTGTTGTTATTATATTATTATTGTTATTATATTAATATTATAGTTATTATTAGTTATTATATTAATATTATAGTTATTATTATTAATATTATTAATATTATTCTATTGTTGTTATTATATTATTATTGTTATTATAGTAATATTATAGTTATTATTATTAATATTATTATTATTGTTGTTATTATATTATTATTGTTATTATATTAATATTATATTTATTATTATTAATATTATTATTATTGTTATTATAGTAATATTATAGTTATTATTATTAATATTATTGTTATTATATTAATATTATTATTATTTTCATATAGTATAGTACTGTTGTTTTTGTTCTCGTAAAACTTTCAAGTGCATCTTTCAAGGTACTTTTGTATGTTTAAGACTCTTATTGTGAAGGTTCAAAGGAAGTTCCTATGAGTTCTACTACCTAACGTTTGAGTCCTTCCCATAAAAAATCCTCGGGGCCAAAACATTTGATTGAAATTTCATCACATGCTCCTTTCTCGGCGGACGCGTGGGACCACATCCTCATCCCTCCTCTTGACCCTTTTATTCTAATTTAAACGTAAACGTCGCCAGCAGCGCTCCTGAAAAGGTTTCTTCTTCCTCTCAGACCACCACAAACTCACCTGGATGAGTGATTCAGTGTTTTTCCTTGGAAAATTGCTTCATGTCACAAACTCTGAGACGCTTGAACTCAGGGAGGTTAGAGTTACACCAGAACGACGAGTAAATGAGCACATGAATCATTCATGTGGCTCCGATTTTAAATTCACAGGTATTCACTTGTTAAGAAAACAAAACCAGGAAGTACATTTCTGTTTTCTCTCTGTCGTGGTAGGCTGGAGTGGACTTGAGCGCACAGGCAGCTCTGTACCTGAGCTTGAAGGTAAACGTGATGCCACCTCGATCTGACTCCACCTTCAGTCCTCTAAGCTCTATAAAGAAGGTAGAATCTGTTTCTCCCGCACTAAAAACTCCTCCGCAGGAGCCCCAGAGGTCCAGTGTCATCTTGGGAGACTCTGCGGACACAAAAGGCCTTCTATTCCACAAATCCCTGGAACAGAACCTCGCTGCACGCCCGTACTGAGCTCAGAACATGTACTCTGCAGGCGTGGAGATCCTCGGGATCATCTTGGCTGTGGCGGGGTGGCTGGGCGTGATGGTGGCCTGCGGCCTGCCCATGTGGAGGGTGGCAGCTTACATCGGACAGAACATCGTCATCTCTCAGGTGATCTGGGAGGGCTTGTGGATGAACTGCTCGGTGCAGAGCACCGGTCAGATGCACTGCAAGGTGCACGAGTCCATGCTGGGGCTCCCCGTGGACCTGCAGGCAGCTCGGGCTCTGGTCATCGTCTCCATGGTGCTGTCCATCGTGGGGATCTGCCTGTCGGTGGCTGGTGCCAAGTGCACCAACTGTAGCCGGGACGTGAGCAGCAAACCCCGCCTGGTGGTGGCTGCTGGGGTGACCTTCGTCGTTGCTGGGTTGCTACTGCTGGTGGCCGTGTCCTGGACCGCCCACGCCATCGTAGTGGGCTTCTATGACCCGCTGCTGGAGGAGACGGCCAAGAGGGAATTTGGGAATGCTCTGTACTTCGGGTGGGCTGCTTCCTGCTTGCTCATTCTAGGGGGAGCCCTGCTTTGTTGCTCCTGTCCACCAAAACCACCAACATCAGCCAGCGGCGGCGCCTCTGCAGCTTCCCGGGTCAGATACTCTGCGGTAAAACCCAAATCAGACAACGGGTACACCAGGAGAGACTATGTTTGATCATGTGACGTTTAACCTCCACGTCTGTGTTCCTTTTCCCGTCTGCATGCAGATTTTGTTCATTTGAATAAAACAATGTTGATCCTTTCAGGTCATCTCTGATAAAGATGTTTATTTTTGTAAAGTTTCTGAATAAAAGAGCAGAACCGTCTCCACAGGCTGACTCAGCAAGCCTGCACTTGTCATGCAGCCGGGTCCCACAGCAGCAGGAGCTCAGCTCCTGCAGGAGCACATCTAGAGCCAGAAGCAGGTATTTTATGTCAGAGTTGAGGGGGACGGAGACAAAGGGAGGCTTGTCTCCGAAGAGCGCCTTCTGCTCCCGCTCCATTATGGCTCGTCCTCCATTTGGGGAGTGAAACTGAATCAGAGATAAAGTCTCGGTGGGGGTGAGGGGGTGTCACTTGCTCTGAAACTGAGCCACAAAGACTCTATTGACCTGCTGGTTTGCAACGGTGGACCTGGAGAAGAACTCCCGAGGTCAGAAGACTTTCTGCTTTAACCGAATAAATAAAAATAAAAATCCGCAGCTGCGAAGAGCGAGTCTCTCTAAACCATTCTGATGCAACAGAAGCGCCGAGCAGACGCAGGTGCATAGAGGGGCCGCCGCATGTGAAGGTCATGTGACTGAAACCAAAAAATACCAGAGGGAGGTGATTAGTGCGCGAGGGCAGCAGCCAGGAAGCATCTGCACGAGTCGACTAAAGGACAACAAGCACGTTTCCTGTGAGGCAGGTGTCGTAAAATACGTGGAATTTTAATCCCAGTTGCGTCAAATATAAATGTGTGTGTGTAAAAGAGCAACTTATCTGGGTTAAATTAGCTGCTGGCTTAGCAGAATCTCAGAGTGAAACACAAAGTTAACCTTTAACCTATGATAAGACCCCCCCCTCCCCCTCCCCAGCTCGGCTTGTGCACGACCTTCCCCCACAAGCGCCTTCGGCTGAACGTGAGATTTAAAAGTCGTTGTTGGCGTCCCTTCCTGCTTGAGCTTTAAAGGAAGAGAAGTGTGCAGAAGCTCGTGGGAGGACACGACCGGTCCCTCAGCAGAGACGTCAGCTGGAGGACTCCTAAAACCTCCCAGTCGACGGCTGTCACGCGTTCCTGTAAAAGTTGGGACGATTTGACAGGATTCTGTTCAGATAACAATCCTCCCTTTGAAGTCAGAACATGTGTTTAAAGTAAGTCATCCTTTGCTCAGAACTAGACCCAAACGGACAGAACCGGTAAAGAAAACCTGCTGACCCAGGTCCCACGGCTAAAATTAGGCGTCGCTTCAATGACTAATCCAATTCTCGTTACCCTCGCTGTTAATCTTTGACTCCTCCAGAGCTGAGAGCCCCCCCCCCCCCCCCCCCCCCCCCAACAACAACCTGCTGTGGTGGAGGATCAGTGATTCATCTGCAGCTGCTGATAATCTGAAATTGGGGTTTTGAAAGTTCAAATGTTGACTGAAGGAGTTGTTTGAGCAGCATCTCCTCCCTCGGTCCTGTCGTATAAAGCATCCATCGCACACCCAGACACCCGCTCTGCTCTGAACCTGCTGCAGACATGCCTGCAGTTGGGCTGCAGATACTCGCCGTGACGCTGGCTGCCATGGGATGGATCTTCTCCATCTTCACTTGTTTCTTACCCATGTGGAGAGTGTCGGCCTTCACCGGGGGGAACTTTGTGACGACGGATGTCACTTGGGAGGGCATCTGGATGACCTGCATCCTCCGGAGCACAGATGTTCTGCATTGTGAGATGCATGACACCATTTTGGGTCTGGACGCAGAGCTTCAGGCTGCTCGTGCTCTCGCCATCATCTCCATCGTGATGGGAACTCTGGGGCTGCTGGTTGCCACTTTGGGGGCAAAGTACACGGTTTGCATAGAGGAGGAGCGGGCTAAGGCTCGGGTGATGATGGCTGCTGGGCTGGCTTTTATCCTGGCCGCTCTCTCCCTGATGATCCCCGTGTCGCAGACAGCTCACCTCATCATCGCACAGTTCAAAGATCCGACCGTGCCTCAAGGACAGAAGAGGGATTTGGGAGAAGCTCTGTACCTGGGATGGAGCGCCGCTGCTTTTCTCCTCATGGGTGGATGCATCCTCTGCTCCAGCTGTCCACAAAAAGCTGGGAGAAGGCACAAGCCGTCGTCGAAGGCGGCGCACTCCCAGGCCAAGACGACTGGTTCAGGTGTCCTTGAAAAGCAAGATTACGTCTGAAGGTCTGTCTGCTCTCTGTCCCGGGTCAAAGGTCGAAGAGACCTGAAGATGTTTCTCAGATTGTCCTCTGGGATGCTGAAAACCCACAGCTCCTTCATCCATTTACCTGGATGACTGTTTCAGGCCACAGGTGGGCGTTCGTCCTGTTGCGCCTGATTAAAACAAACATTTAATCTGTCATCTTATTTTGAAAAGTATCAGCTTCCTCCTAATAATGTTTGATGTTTTTTGTGTGTTCAGACTTTAAAAAGCTGCATTTTCACAAATTTTATGGATTTTTAAAAATTGTTTCTATCAAAATAAATGACAATAAAAACCAAGTAGTGCCAAGTTGTGTGTGTGTGTGTGTGTGTGTGTGTGTGGGGGGGGGGGGGGGTGTTAGGTTAGCCACACCGTTATCAGTGTTGCTAATTTAGCCTGTTTGGTCCCATATTTATCAGCTGTGGGATACCTCAAGGACCCGTCCTAGGCCCAAAGTTTTCATTATTGCTTACTTACTTCATTATGCACATCAATGATCTGCATATGTAGAGTATCAACACCTTTCAAATGAGTTTTATTTAAAGATGACAAACATTCTTTGTTCCGGTGTGGATTTGCAGCAGAATCTGGGGCGATCACTAAAAAAGGCAAAAAATAAAAAATGGTTTGATTCAAATGAAATAACTTTGAATTTAGATGAAACCAAATTCGTGTTACTGGAAAAACACACACATACATAGCAGCAAACGTAACTATCGACATGGTTAACGCTGAAAGGGTAACTGTGGACGATCAAATCTGACAGAAACCACAAATGAAATATGTTCGGGGGAAGTTGGAGCTCGGAGTCTCGCCATCCTAGCAAAAAACATCCTCCGTCAGAAAACTCTTCATACGCTCCGTACTCCACTCTTATCCTATCGGAGTTACTGGGCACAAGTGTGAGGAAACACACGCAAACAATTACTTTGTACATGAATGAAGAGCAGCAAAAGAAACGAGTGAGGCGTAGCGATGAGAGTTCAGTCCGACGGAACTCTTTGTTGTGTTTGTTTTTCTTTCCCTGTTTTTATTTTTAAACGAGTAAATTAGGTCAAACGAATGAATGGATGGATTCTAGTTTGCAGTGGATTTTCTTCTGGAAACATGGGAACGTGTAAAGAAGGGCCTTGGGAGTTTACACGTCAACCTACCTCCTATTCATACTATCGTCCACTTTTATTCGTTGACGTTTGAAATGAAAACAGATAAACATTAACTGAGTAATCAGGCCTGCTGATATAAATACCTACGACTCCTGACCCGTGTTCACTTTGGAGGTTCTGCTGCGGGTCTCTCCCTCCCACCGCAGAGCTCAAAGATTCATTTACTTTCAGCGTAGCACACTTTTACTACGATGAATATTTAGGTTTGGTCTTTAATCCTCTTGGTTTGGACTAAACAAACATCTGCCTGAAGCCCCGCCTCCTGGGAAAGGGTCAATGTTTTTCTTTTGCCTTCTTTGCTTTTGGCTTTTTGTAACTCGAGAGAGACGGGACCTTTCTGGGGTTGATCAAACTTCCTGTTTGCCTTGGTGGCGCTGCGACTGGTCGCTCTGCCGCCTCACAGCCAGAAGACTGCGGGTTCTAAACCCAGGTGCAGCTTTAACCGACGGCCTTCTCTGGATGTCTCTTTGATAAAATCACTGGCAGCGTAAATAAACACGCTTACAGCTCGGGTTGGATGAAGAACAGAGTTAATTAAAACCTCCACCACGGCGTATTTCACACAGCCGGCTCCGCCAGAACCAAAAACCCAAACGTTTAATTAAAACAGAGAACGGCCTGTTCGTGGACTCCGTGATAACGGGAGCAGTCCGAGACTAATGGACCATGGGGGGGTGAGCATTCCTCTGGAGATGCTCCAGCCACCAGATGACTCTCTGCTGATCGCTGAGCAACACAAACTCGATGCGGGCAGGTAAAAGTCCCACTCTGGGGGAAAAACACACCTGAGGGGGTTAAACCCTGTAATCGTAGAAGGACACCTGCATCCTTCTGGTAAGTGAGTGAGACAAAGGTGAGTGAAGAGCTCTTTAAACGGATTTATTCTCCTGATCGATAAAGTTTTGAACACTCGGCGTCACCGAGAGCATCTTGAGGAAAGGGGTTTGGTCTGAGACTGCTCGCTTGTGTCCTCTCAGCTGTGAAAGACCTCTTTGTGGTCGGGTTCACTGGAACGGGTCGAGTAAGCCGATAGCAGGAGCGCTCAGATGCTTCAGGTCCTTCCTCCTCTTCAGTGATGTCAGCCCCTTCACAGGCTCCTCCCCTGCACCTGCCCAGGTTTATATAAGGATGCTCGTCAGATTAAGGTAACAGATCACCGCACAGTCTGAGAGTGGAGAGCTGAAATCACCCAGTCTCCAGCGAGTTTGACCTTTTAACCAGACCTTCTCCGTTTCCTCCTCCTCGGGTGAGGCATCCCTCAGCACCTGCAGCAGCAGCAGACCTCCCAGCATGTCGGTCGGACTGGAGCTGATAGGCATCTCTCTGTGCATCCTGGGATGGGTTATCGCCGTCGTGGCCTGCGCCCTCCCCATGTGGAGGGTGACGGCCTTCATCGGCAGCAACATCGTGACAGCTCAGATCATCTGGGAGGGTCTGTGGATGACCTGTGTGGTCCAGAGCACGGGGCAGATGCAGTGTAAGGTCTACGACTCCATGCTTGCCCTCTCCCAGGACCTCCAAGCAGCCCGAGCCCTCACCGTCATCTCCATCCTGTTGGCCATCCTGGCCGTTCTCGTCGCCATCGCCGGGGCAAAGTGCACCAACTGCATCGAAGACGAGGCCTCCAAGGCAAAAGTCATGATCATCTCTGGAGTCTTCTTCATCGTTTCAGGCGTCATGCAGCTGATCCCCGTCTCCTGGTCGGCTCACACCATAATCCGGGACTTCTACAACCCTTTACTGACTGATGCTCAGAGGAGGGAGCTGGGGGCGGCGCTGTACATCGGCTGGGCGGCGGCTGCGCTCCTGGTTCTGGGTGGTGGACTGCTGTGCTGCTCCTGTCCACCTCGTGAGACCAGATACAACACGTCACGCATGGCTTACTCCGTCCAGCGGTCTGCAGGAGGCCCGGTGCTGGAGAGGAAGGACTACGTATGAGCGAGGGTCGAGTGAGGAAAGGCATTTCTGAGCACCCCCCCCCCCCCCCCCCCCATCCCCACCAAACAGCCAGCAAGTCCCAGAAAGGACAAAAGAATCGGTTTGGTATTGATTAACAACTCTGAGCGCCACCCATCGGGGAGAAAAACCGCTTGTGTGAAGTTGTTAGAGCGCGTTTTTCAGCATTAAACGTTTTTTTATTCAACTGGAAGATCTTTTTATAAACGTCTTTAATGTTTACGACAGAAATGAGCTTTTTGTGGAGCGCGGCTTGCTGCGGGGGTCACA